AATTGGAATAGATTTGGAGAAATGTAGCATTGCATCACTTGCTCACCAAAGGATGTGAATGGGTGCCGTCAGAATGAGAGTCCAAACAGCTGATAATAACATCACAATAATCCACAAGTAATCCATATTTTATTAAAAAGTAAAAAATGTCTTAATGATGGATTTGTTTCTTACAAACACGCAACTTTTCCCTTCACAAGGCATTAACTGATGGACTGGAGTGCTGTGGATTACTTGTGGATTATTGTGATGTTATTATCAGCTGTTTGGACTCTCATTCTGACGGCACCCATTCACATCCATTGGTGAGCAAGTGATGCAATGCTACATTTCTCCAAATCTGATGAAGAAACAAACTCATCTGCATCTCGGATTACCTGAGAGTGAGTCAATTTTCAGTAAATTCTACTACAACTATTCCTTTAAGAAAGTAAACAAAAGTCAGTTTTGATTTCATGTTGGCGTATATAAATTCAATGCACGGATGCATGATCACTCACTATTGGCTGAGAGATATAAACATTTTATGAAACGAAATTTGTTCCATCAGAGATTTTTTTTGCATAACACCTTTTGCATGTTCAAAAAAATAAAACCCAGATGGAGGACTGTAACGGTTTTACTTTTACATTAAAACCTGGTAACAAAGACTTTAGACCAATTTTAATGCTTTTAAGACGCGTTTCATGGTACTACTACTACTAAAGAATAGTAGTGAGTCCTTGTTGAGGACACACTCTTCCATGAAGAACATACATGGTGAAATTTTTATTGACGAGGTTCTCGCTAAAGGAGCCATTTTATGAAACGAAATTTGTTCCATCAGAGATTTTTTTTGCATAACACCTTTTGCATGTTCAAAAAAATAAAACCCAGATGGAGGACTGTAACGGTTTTACTTTTACATTAAAACCTGGTAACAAAGACTTTAGACCAATTTTAATGTTTTTAAGACGCGTTTCATGGTACTACTACTACTAAAGAATAGTAGTGAGTCCTTGTTGAGGACACACTCTTCCATGAAGAACATACATGGTGAAAGTTTTATTGACGAGGTTCTCGCTAAACGAGCCACTCCTGTGACAGACACAAGCTTTGTGATTTGATTACCAGTGCAACTGATTTTAAAAATAACCCTGCAACCTGAAAACGTGTTTTCATACATGTGAAACTTTGCTACCGATTTGTATTCTTCCTCATAAGTGCAACTGTATGGCTTGATGTGTGGTTGTGCTTTATTGCTGTAGTTACTATTTGCACTAGCAGTGTGAAGAGCACAAAGGATGCTGGGAATGACCGGCATCCTGATGTTTGTTTACTGTATTTTTAGTGCCCTCGTCAGGTTCGTACATGTAAAACCAGAAGACTGACCTCAACCCTGTTGGTTTCCAGGATTCTTTCTATATTTTTGGAGCTGGATTATTCTGCAATCGATGGCTAAAGACCGAGCGAATGAATGTATGGCGCTTTCCGAGCTGTAATGGAGCATGTGTCTGAGAAGAGGAACTCTGTATGTAATCTCTAATAAATAACTGTAATCTTTCACCTGCTCGTTTCTGACCGGCTTTTATGAGCTAAACTTACACAACAGGTTTCCCAGACAAAGGTTAGGTTCTCCATTAATCATTCTCAGCCTGGGCGTGAACTGGTTGTGTTTTATTGGATCACTGTGTTTGCTTTTACACACTTACACTGTGTCATTTTGCTGTTCTTACCGTTTCCTTTTGGATGGAGTTCAACTAGCAAAATTTCATAAAACAATGCATTTTGGAGTACATACGTTATATTTCAAAAGTCTGTACATACAGTATACAGTAGACTTATAATGAAGCTTTTAGAAATGATGTAATGATGTAAATATTTAATTATTATTCACCATTGGTATTGAATTATTGTTAACTTCTGTGTTATACATGATTTTGTTTTATACTCGTACTCACACAAATACAGAGTACTTTTTTTTTTTTTTACTAGAAAAATCCACTATTTTACTAAGCAAATTCATTATGTGTAGAAGATCTAGTCCTGACATGTAAATGAAGGTTAATAGTTGATCCATATGGGCGTGTTCCCAAAACCAGAGGGGAAAAATATATATATATATATATAAAAAAAGAAAATAGGTCATTAAATTAAGAATAATAAATCAAATTTAATGTTTTTTTTTTTTTTAAATATTCACGTATACTAAAATATGATTTAAATAAAATTTATAACTAATTTAAATATACACAACTGTTAAAATATAGCACAACTGCTTATAATAACAATCATTAATAACTGATCATCAATAATAACTGATAATAGCTGAGCACTAAATCAGCCTATTAGAATGATTTCTGAAGGATACATTATATAAATAAACATTTTATAAGATTTGAGAAATTATAAAAAAATTAATGATAATAAAAAAATGAATATTACATTTAAAATTATATAAATATAATGAAAATATAAATAAAATATATAAATTAAAATATAATTTAATTTAATTATTAAATAACTAAATTAAATCTGAAATAAATAATAAAAATATATAGGTATTTAAATACATTTATTTATTAAAGAACATAAATACATCATTAGTTGCTAACCATAACCATACAAAATATTACCAATGCGTCACATTGTTTTTTTTTGCAATAAAAGCATCTTAACTAGTTTTATAAATACTGATTAAATAAAGGTGGTGTGTGCTTCATGAATCAGGCGTCTAATCGTTCCTCTGCTCTTTCTTCTCTTGTAATATCCAGTGCTTTACTAAAGCGCTCACATAAAGCGCTCTGTCCAGATGGTCTAACTGGAACTTGATTGACAGCTGCAGTAGCCAATGAGTCCAGAGTGAAAATGTGCTGCTGGATCTGATTGGCCGTGGGCTTGAGGGCCCAGTAGAGTTTCTGCAGGGCTTGTACGTCCTCTAGAGCATTATGGGCCGCATATGAAACTCCCAGGAGGGTCTTAACCAAGTTCTCCTGCTTGAAGCTCTGGAGGCCACTGCCTTTCAGAAGCTGTCGGGCCAAAGGAAGGGTGTCCACGAATCCAGAAACCTCTTTCTGGAAGTCTGACCTAAGGCCGAACTCATCCAGAGCTCTGGCCAAAACGTGCCAGTCAAACCTGCGGATGTTGTGGCCCACCAGGAACGGCCGACCCAGCATCCAGAGGAAGGTTATGAAGGAGAGCAGGGCTTCTCGGAGAGAGCTGGTGATGGAGAAACAAACGGTGACGTCTCACACTGAAACCTGTAATCCTGGACGCCCCGGGCTGCATCGGCCGCCGAGGAACCATGAAGAGGTTGAGAGTGTGACCTCCACTCACTGCGGCCAGCTGGACGAGATCACATGAGGGATCTGGAGGTGGAGAATATATGCAATAAGTAACATTTTGCAAAAATTAAATAATAAAAAAACATCATATATATATATACACACACACACACACCCTATACAGTAGGTCAAAAGAATATTTTAAAATATATATACATGTTTTTAAAATCTCTTATGTTCACCAAGGCTCCATTTATTTGATTAAAATAATTGTGAAGTATTGTTACAATTTAAAATAACTGTTTCTATTTCAAAACTATTTCAAATGTAATTTATTCCTGTGATGCAAAGCTGAATTTTTAACTAAAAGAGTTTTCAACATTAATAATAAATATTATTATTAAAATTGATCATCAAATACAACGGAGCACCAAATCGGCATATTAGAATTAAATAATAAAAAATATCATATATATATATATATATATATATATATATGTATGTGTGTGTGTGTACACTAATACATAGTACACAAACTAATACATTATCATATATATATATATATATATATATATATACACACACTATAGGTCAAAAGAATATTTAAAAAATATATATATGTTTTTAAATAAGTCTCTTACGTTCACCAAGGCTGCATTTATTTGATATATATATATATATATATATATTGTGAAGTATTATTACAATTTAAAATAACTGTTTCTATTTCAAAACATTTTAAAATGTAATTTATTCCTGTGATGCAAAGCTGAATTTTTAACATCTAAAACTGTTTTCAACAATAATAATAATAATAATACTAATAATAATAATAAGAGGAACCAGTATTAAAACTGATCATCAAATATAACTGAGCACCAAATCAGCATATTAGAATTATTTCTTAAGGATCGTTTATATACAATTATGAATAAATTATAAAAAATAAACATTTTATAGTCTAGGATTTGAGAATTATGCCATAGATAACTTTTGTTTTCAAAACGCTGAGTAGAGACATGCATGAAAGCTTGATTCATACAATCATTAGCATAATGCTGCACATTTCTCGTGCTTAAATAAGGATTTTGTTTATAAAGTCACATACCTAAACCAGTTGTCTCTAAATAAAAAAACACAGTAGAGGGTGGATGCAGCGAGACAGAATCCATTTTTCATTTTAAACATCAGAAGTTGCTTTTCTTTCTTCTACTGTGGCGAATGTTTGGATCATGAATATTAATTACGTTACGTGACGTTCGTAAGTATTCTGATTGGCTTAAAGGCAGCCGTCAGTAGGCGGGCTCTAATCGACAGGCGAATGAACGAACGATTAGGAGGCCGGTTATGTTTAGTGATTGGACGCTCCAACCGTGATTTAATTAATATTCATATTATAAGCCTTCTACATTAAACAGCGACATCAGGCGGACCGGGATAACTCAGAAACCTTTTTATTTTTTTAAATAGATAATACGAGCGTATTATTGTATATATTATATTATTGAAAGTATCTGTGAAATCACACGTGTTTTTTTATATATATATAAAATCATTTACATCTTTTGTTTTTTTTAATCAGCACTTTTATTTTGAAAAGTGGCCTCTGGGGGTTTATTTATGGGCCAGAATAACGCGCGCGTGTCTGTTTATGTCAATAATTCTGATTGTGATCATCAGAGAGCTGCTCTTGTGTCTCGCTTGTCTTCAGGACATATTGTGAGAGATCTGTGTGAGATTTGTCTCAGGGTAAGCTATCACTTATTTACATATTATTGCATCTTCTTATATATTAAATGCGCTTTAAATTAAATGCTTATGCAGTTCATCTAAAATAAGGGTACAAAATGAGTATTTAAATCACGTGTTAAGTGTTTTATCATTTTTAGCATGGTGTAATTAATATGCCATTATAGTTTTTATTCAAAATGTGAGGTTTTTTTTGTATTTTCCTTTTTCATATTTGTTTCCCTTTACATTTTAGTCATTTATTGTGTGTTTTTTAAACGTCTGCATATGTTTTATTATTTTTTATTTCAGTTTTAGTTATGTTAGTACTTCAAATTAAAACAAATGAAAATTACAAATGTTGCCTTGGCAAGTTCTATATATATATATATATATAAACTATGTAAAAATGTTTTTAAACACTTTTTTTTTACATAGTTTATATGTCATGAAATTTGAAAATTAGTGATTAAAAGGGTTTTCTGTAACTAAAACCATTAAAACCAACATTTTCATTTTTTGAAAACTCTTGTTTTTTTACGTATTTTATTTCAGCTAATATTTTTATTTATTTCAAATAACGAAAATGTTTTAATGGTTTTAGTTAAAACCAAAAATAAATAAATAAATCTATGACCTTCCATGTACATGCATATATAATTTATAATATACATCTATTTGTGTATATATAAAATATTATACTTTTTATCTATTTATCTATAAATATATATATATATATGTATATGGGTGTGTGTATATATATATATATATATAATAAAAAAAAGAAATAAAAAAAAAAACCTTACAAAACAGAGTTTCAAACCAATATAACTTCATATGTACGTACGGATACAATTTGAGGTGTTGTGTTCCAGAATCATGACTTCTCAGGTGAGACAGAGCTTCCATCAGGAGTGTGAGGCTGCCGTTAACAGACAGATTTACCTGGAGCTCTACGCCTCGTATGTCTACCTGTCCATGGTGAGAGCACACACTCATACGACTGATCGCTACAGCTCTGTGTGAACGGACTGAACTGTCCTCAGGGGTTTCTAAAGGGTTCGTGGTTGACTGTTCTTCTTTCCAGGCGTATTATTTTGACAGGGATGACAAGTCTTTGCCCAATTTTGCCAAGTTTTTCCACGAGCAAGCTAAGGAGGAGCGAGAGCATGCGGAGAAGCTGATGAGTCTGCAGAACCACAGAGGAGGACGGATCTACCTGCAGGACATCAAGGTACAGAACAGTGCTGTCTCTCTAATGTGAAATGAATGGAGTGAATGAGCGTGTGTGTGTGCAGAAGCCGGATCGGGATGAGTGGGGCAGCGGTCTGGAAGCGCTGGAATGTGCTCTGGCTCTGGAAAAGAGTGTAAATCTGTCCTTACTGGAGCTTCACAAGCTGGCAACTCAACATAATGATCCACATGTAAGTACACAAAAATAGGGCACAGGGTTTGGTCATGGAATTTATTTTTTGGTTGTCTTTAACTAAAAGTTAAACCATTAAAAACACTTTTTGTTATTTGTTATTTACAAATAAAATACACTAGTGCTTGGGCAACGATTAATCGCATCCTAAATTAAAAGTTTTTGTGAACGTAATGTATTATGTATATATAAAGACATACACATACAGTATATATTTAGAAAATATTTACATATATTTATATTCATATAATTTATTTTATATATAAATATATTTAATATATAAACATATTTTTCTGAAATATATGCATGCATGTGTTTGTATTTACATATACATAATAAATATACACAGTACACACACAGATATTATGTACACAAAAACTTTTATTTTGCATGCGATTAATCGCGATTAATCATTGCCCAGCACTAAAATAAGCATTAACTGAAATAAAATGTGTCAAAATATTAAATATTTATTTTTCGTTAATATTTATTTTATTTCAAATAACAAAAAAATTGTATTTATGGTTTTACTTTTAGTTAAAGAAAACCCTGTTAATCACTAATTTTAAAATCCCACGACTTTACATATTAAAAAAATGTTTGAAAAAAACTAAAACTAAAACTGAAATAAAAACTAGGCATTTAAAAAAAATGACTAAAACTTAAACTAAAATAAATATGAAAAATTGAAAATATTAAAATAGATACCAATCCAAAATCTGAAAAAAAAAAACTATAATAGAATGTTAATGATACAATGATAAAAATAAATGCATTCATTTCAAAAGTTCTAAAAATTCTAAATGTCCTAGTTATGTTCAGATATAAATAATTGGCTAGAAATTTCTATTTGTGATCATTATTTTTAAAAATCATTATAAAGAAATTCTTTAGTCAGAAAGTTTGGAAACCCTGTAGTAACATGTCCAAAAAACATTGTGTATTTTGTCATAAGAGATACGACTAGAACAGGCTTTGTCTGTCAGTTGTTTTAAGGGAGTTACCCAGAACGCATAATTTATCCAGTTTAGGATCAGATCTATCTATGTGATCTCATTCATGAGAATATGAAAGGCAAGACTGACCCTCACGTCTGTAAGGAGTTTTTTGTAGAAACCATGAATTAAAATCACCACCTGTAATTACTGTTAGTGATTGTTAGTGGTAAACTAACAGTGTCACAAAGGTCATTTCACCCACAGTATTTCTGAATCTTTCTGTCACAGGTTTGTGATTTCCTGGAGACGCATTACCTGGACGAGCAGGTGAAGTCCATTAAAGAGCTGGCGGACTGGGTGAGCAGCCTGCGGCGGATGGGCGCCCCTCAGAACGGCATGGCCGAATATCTGTTTGACAGACACACTCTGGGAAAGGAAAGCTCTTAGACAGTCTCTCGGTTTATGATGGAGTCAGTGCGCCAAGCATGTCAGGCCATGTGAGTGTTGGAAACTAGAGATCCTGTCCGAACCCAACCGTAGATATTATACGCCACATTATATGCAGTATTCTATATGAAATCATTGATCTCAATAAAAAATATTACTAGTGAAGCCGTGTGTGTCCTTTTTTTATGTTCCTATAAATAGAATTGAGTTCCTAGATATCAGAGATATATGTGACCCTGGAGCACAAAACCAGTCATAAGGGTCCATTTTTTAAAATTGGGATTTAGACATCATCTGAAAGATGAATAAATAGCTTTCCATTGATGTATGGTTTGTTAGGATAGGACAATATTTGGTCGAGATACAACTATTTGCAAATCTGGAATCTGAGGGTGCAAAAAAATCTAAATATTGAGAAAATCATCTTTAAAGTTGTTCAAATGAAGTTCTTAGCAATGCATATTACTAATCAAAAATTAAGTTTTGATATATTTACGGTAGGAAATTTACTAAATATCTTCATGGAATATGATCTTTACTTAATATCCTAATGATTTTTGGCATAAAAGAAAAATCTATAATTTTGACCCATACAATGTATTGTTGGCTATTGCTACAAATATACCCCAGCGACTTAAGACTGCTTTTGTGCTGCAGGGTTACATTTACTGGCAGGATGTAACTAAAAAAAAAAAGAACACAAGACATTTGAGAACAGACATGCATAATTAATGATGAATGAAATTTAAGAATAGATGCATAATTCATGAAGCTTTTCCTGTCTTTAAGTGAAAGTGAGTCAGCAACAAAAAAATAAAATCTAGACCAAAAGCACAAAATTACTAAAACTTAGTCAAATTAAAATGGAAAACATAAAAATAAATACTAATTCAAAATATGAATTAAAAACTATTATAGTATATTTAGGATGCTAAAACAACACTAGAAAATTCATAAAAATTCCTATACATCAATTATTTAAGAATAGATGCATAATTCATAAAGCGGTTCCTGACTAAGAGAGCCAGAAAAAAAAAATCTAGAATTACTAAGACCTAATCTAAAATTAAAATGGACAATATATAAAAATAAAACTTTCAAATATGAATAAAAACGATAATATTATTAATCACACAGGCCTAGAAGGTCATGAAAATTCCAATAGTTTATATAACGTATTTAAGAATAGATGCATTAAAAAAATCTAGACGTGAATGCACTGCAAAACTAAACTCTATATGCGAGTTTTCCATCAGGTACGTACCATAATATCTACTCTAAATATATACAGATAAAGAAGAAATGCATTTTATGTACCTGCTGAGTGGCTTGAATAATGATGTCAAACATGTTAAACAAATGCATGCTGACTATAAATATTCTGCAGTAAATCAAGGCAAGAATAAACGGCTTTGATTTTACCCTCTGTTCACCTCATTCTGAGAAGAATTAGTGTAAAGTGCACAGGTTGGTACAAAAGAGTTTAATTCAGTTACAGTCCCATGATGCAATGTGTTTGGGAGGTTTGTTCTGCACCAGGATCTTTGTGTGGATCTGGACTTTTTCTTTGATATAATTTGTTTTATCATTTTTATAAATATTCTGCAACATTGTTTATGCAATGAGAGTGACAGTGGAGATCAAGAAGTGATTTTACTGATTTATACGAGTTGTCTCCAACCACATACTCTACAGCAATATAATAAAAAATAAAAAAAATGACCGGAAAGTGAATTTATAAAATTATGCATGTTATAATTCATGGACCCTATTCACTGACTGTGATTACGTTTCCACAGTTATTAACATCATAAATCTAGCAAAGTTATATATATATATATATATATATATACAGTGGGTACGGAAAGTATTCAGACCCCCTTAAATTTTTCACTCTTTGTTATATTGCAGCCATTTGCTAAAATCATTTAAGTTAATTTTTTTTTCCTCATTAATGTACACACAGCACCCCATATTGACAGAAAAACACAGAATTGTTGACATTTTTGCAGATTTATTAAAAAAGAAAAACTGAAATATCACATGGTCCTAAGTATTCAG